TAAAGCAAGTACTAGAAATAGAAAAGTCTTTCTTCTCTCATCTTTTAAATTACAATAATCTTAAGGATGGCTTGTAGTGTTAAGAATTTTATGCAAGTTGAAAGATGACTTTCAATATTGCAGAATTCTTTAAAAGGAACATACAATATGGCTCCTAGAACTTTCTTAACCTTTATTTGTTAATGAGGAGCCCTTTAAAAATCAGACTCTTAATCAAATTGCAGCAATATAACCATGTCAGTGGCGTGAATTCAGATCCTGTAACCAGTTCTTACCTTTACTACCATTTAACAAGGTAGATGGCTCAGAACAAAAATGTAAATATTTGCAATTAAAATACATCACTCTTTTATGTTTCCATTATTTTGTGCAATATTTTAATAAAAATAGATGGAAAAAGTTAACTGTCTACGGTGTGTAGATGTTGTTCAATATAAATGTACTTACTTTATGATTGAACAAAATCTCTGAAGCCTGTCTGGGGAGCAGTTATAGTTCTAGATCTAGAAACATTCTTAAGATACTGAATGATATACTCCATTTTTGTGTGTATGCTTTTCAGAGATACTTGCTGTCACTTTAAAGGTTGTATGTCTGATTCTATTTCTGTATTTCCTCTTTCAAAGCATTACTATAATAACTGAGGCAGTTTCTTTGTATAGTGCTCTGGTTCGCAAAAGAGCCTTTCCCCAGTCACATCTATTATTTTTCACTGTTCCAAGCACCCACTCTGGTCAACTTTGATAGAGCCTATCTATGACTAGTAAATTTATGTCTGTATCTATTTAAACAGAAATAGAAGATACAGCTTATCTTACAAATCTTGATATTCTTTTAATTTCCTGGAGCACCAATCTCCTTAATGAAAAAGAAGGAAGGATGCTGTCCCATCTGATGACGTGATGAGAAGTAATTGTTCATTTGGTCTCTATCATTACGGTGTTTAAAACCCAACAAAAATCTTGCCTCAGATTTGTTACCAATTTTCACTATATATATTGCTGCATTGTTTATTGTTGTTTACTACCTCTTTGTCTGCAGTTCCTCTTCTCTCCCTTGGAGTACATCGTCCCACATCAGTGAAAGCAGAAGAATAGCTTCCAGGAGACTCCTGCTCTACTGAAAACAGAAAGTATATTAAACTAAGGTAAATTAAACAAAATTGTTAAAATCTGTGATGCTGCTTGGTTTAATTTTGGGGGTGAAGAGATATTGAGATCTATTCTTTTACCCTTCATTAAAAAACCACATGATATGATGGCTACGGTGCACCTTTAAAGAAAAAAAAAAACACAAAACCAAAAAGATACAGACTTTTAAGAAAAGACAAAGGCTATCCTCTGATCCACAGCAGAAGAATGCATGATAAAGGATTGGGGGAGCAAAATTATGCCTCACTGTATGAAGGGATGTACCCCTACTGGGCTAAATGGAAGATATGACAGCAGTACCTGGACTTCATCAAGTTGCAAGAAACTGTCTTGGAATGCCAACAATATAAACACATAATTACATGCACAAGACATGATTAAAGCATGCTTCAATGAAATAATGCTGAAGGAAAATTGTTTCCACCTAAGTGATCTAAGATGCATTTCTACTTCACCAGGGTTACTTGTTAGGCAGCACGAGGGAATTTAGAAGGATGTTATTTCATACACACTACTCTGTTTTAAGACATGGAGCGCAAAACATTACTCACCAATCTATGTGGCAGATTTTCTGTAAAGCACAGTTTACCAATGTTTATTACAGGATGGAATATTGTAGGATGGTGAATACATATTTTCACGTTTTAATAAAAAAAGTAAACTGACACTACTTACAGCTCTGAAAGTTGCCAATTTGAAATGAAAATATAATGGAATTATTTCAGACCAGAGCATGGAATGAACCGCCTCCTAAGTTCTGGGATTTACAATTTTAGTCTGCTAGTGCCACAGTCATACCTGCCAGGGAAGATATATAACTGATATTTGTCTTCCTTTGACATCAGTCGTACAATGTAGTCTTACCAAGTGGAGAAGTACAAGTGGAGAAAATAGAATTTAAAGTATCATATCCATTATGTTGGGATTTTACAGAAGAAAGATGTAAATATTTTCCATAAATAGCCCCAAAATTTGAGGTTATTGATAAATAAAGGGGAGGAACAAATGAGACACATACTGAAAACACATCTATTTTATATTTTTTTTTCTTTTAACTCTAGCAGAAAGGGAAGAACATGGGAGGGAAGGAGTGAAAATGTAGCAAGTTTAGGAAGAACGATTTGCTTTATTTCTGTACAGCTCCTTATGAAGTCAATATTGGTAGTTTTCAGTGCTTTTTGCTATGGGCTTAGAGTCTCTGTGTGGATGGTGGCTGTAAGAGACACACACAGATCCTACAACACATGAAACTTCCATTAGAAGAGCTCAGCCCTGACTGATGCAGATGGAACTCAATGGAATATTGTTCTGTACTCATTCTCCATGCTACTTTAGGGATATTAATGTTGACAGAGTGTACTACTTTCTTCATGACAGACTCCATAGATGCAGAAGCTGTTAGGAATCCATGTTCACTCTGCACTGTAAATTTCCTTATTTTCAAGGACTGGAAAATTCTAATTTAGCAACTGTGACATGTGAACAGCACAATTTCCAACAGCTTCAGTCTCATTGCGTTGTACTGCATGCCATGGTTATTCACGATCAGGCTTCGAGTATGACTAATTCAATTCTACACTGTGTGTCACAGCTGTGTTATACCTAATTCTCTGTTCTCAACATGTCTGTTTTAACTAGTTAAGAAGACATGGTAACAGCTTAAATTCTGATTTCTCTTGAAATACATATTTACCATTGTGTTACTTGCAAAAGTTACAGAAAAAGATGTGAGATTAAAGATGAGCAAGATGAGACTGCTCATGTATTGTATAATTGGTATATTGAAGACATTCTTTCTTACATCCAATTGTGATTTCAAGAACAGCTTTGTAATGTCACTGAATTTTCAAAGATGCTCTGTCACAGAGGACTGTATGTCTAGAATCAGAATTCTTTAACAAAGAGTTGTTACCACTTAAAAGGAGAAATGACAGATATGCCAAAAACATTAAGCTAAATCCTCTGGGATAGACATTTGTGCACTCCTGCTAGATTCCTGCTATGAATCTAGTTTGATTTTTTTTTTTTTTTTTAAATTGCAGTGTTAAAGTTTAAAAACATTTTAAGCTTAAGCAATTTTTTTTGAGAAAAAGAGAAGCAGTGCAACAAACTCAAAGCAGGGACTTGAAAACCAGATCACTATCAAGACAGACTTTTGCAAATTACACTCACCCTGACAGTTTCATTCATGTTTTGGTTATTGAGAATTTCCCTTCTAAGGGGATAGGATATTTCTCAAAACGCCATAGATATTTTAAAATTCTACGAGAAGAACTAGTTTGCTGCCACAGAAATTGGAAATTGTATTGTTTGAGCAGTGGAATGGAAACTTCCTAAAACGGAAGATCTCAGGGGTCTATTCACAAAAAGTCATGTAAAGCATCAGAATTAATGTGTTTTTTTCACAAGAATAAAGAATCAACTTTCTATGATGCTGGTGAAGTTAAGAACATTTTCATCACTTACATGTAAAAAATCTCAGCAGATTTTTTTTTTTTTTAATAATAAAGGAAGGGCTATCTGCATATTGTTTTCTCTTTGACCAGCATCTTATGATGCATGCATTCACTCTCTGTAAGGTCTTTTTCTTGGGGAAAACCCCACATTGCTTAATTTAATAACAACATTGTAATTTATAGCACTAATAATACATTAGGTGAAATGTACTGTAACTCCAGTTGTCCAAATTACTGCATTTTTGTGAATAGACAGGAAATGTATCTATTCTCATCACCTATGTAAAAATGACATCCTTCGTTAAGAATTTTGTGGGATGAAAGCTTTTTATAGACAACACAAATAGAAATTGAATGAGAAAGGGTGGGAAATAGAGGGAGTAAGGTTGAGTAAGTACATCACAAGGACAGAAGAAGAAAGTTAATCCACCTTGGAAACACAGTGAACTATTGTTGTTAGTTGCGTCCAGGTCTGGGAAAGAGGCACTAAGAGGTGATCTTCCACAATCATTCTGGTACAGTGGGCAATCGATAGCACCATCTTGAGGCAGTGGATGAAAAAGCTGGTGCATGGGACTCTTTTTCAGAGCTTTAAGAGATGAATTCCTTTCTGGAATGTCAGGAAGCAGCTCAGTAATAAGTCTATGTAGTATGCTGTTGTCAGGCAAGCTTCCCCTTCTTTTTTCAGCTTTAATTTGGTCACAGATGTCTTTAAGTGCAGAATCTAGTGCTTCAAATACAGATGACTTGCATTTTTTCTTTTCAGTTTGTTTTTTAGGAGCTGCACCTTTTTTCCTCCGGAAAGGCACGGGACTGACTAGGAATGCTATCTTAGAGAGGCCAGATTCTGTTTCCTGTCTCCTTGTATCTTCAGTGGTTTCTTGTTTAGCCCTTTCATGTTTTAACATGGTGGTGAAGCGCGTGTAGGACGCTGGGCATCGTCCTTTGCAGGAGCTGACGAGATGCCTGTGGTGGTGGTGGTGATGGTGATGGCCTGATCCATAAAAGCTTTCAGATGATGTGAAGGAAAAGTGATCAAAGTCACTTTCACTACAAAAGGATGAGCCCTCAATCTGGATAAAGTCACTGACATCAGAAACCACTCCATCTTGATCACTGTCAGAAAAATCCATATGTGATCGTTGTGGCTCATCACTAGTCACTTCAATATGAATTGGCACCAGGGTTTTACACTTGTAGCTCCGTTGTACCTGAGAAGGATGTCTGCCTTGATTTTCTTCTTCTAGCAAGGATTCGATAGAAAACCGCCTCTTTGGACATAAGCCATTTTTAGGAGGCTCTAGTGTAACAGTTGACAACATTTCGTCGCCGAGGTTCGGCATTGATTTTGACTTCTGAATTAATTTTTCAAATTCAGATATTCTGGTTGGCACCATGTCTCTGGGAACCTCTTCAGTAGAAGACTCTCTCCAGCCTTGAAGAATAGCTTTGTGCTGTTCTTTTTCATACTGCAGTATTCTGGACTTCACAGAACAAATCACTTCAGAATTCATCAAGTCCTTGCGATTGATGCGGTGCATCTTTTTGTACATCTTTAGGAAACCTGGTGCATCATGTGCAGATCTGTGACGAACCCTTGGCCTGCTACTACCATGGCCCTCAACATACGGGGAGACCCAGTTCATAGAGCAAACTTCTTTGGAGTCCTCACATAAGAGAGAGCCCATGCTTTCAGACTTAGCCTGTTCATCAGGAAAGCTATCGCGATCATCTGTTAACAGATCATCATAGCTACGAGATTTTCTTTTTGGAGAAGCAGTTTCTTCTGTGCTGCTCCAGACTTCTGCATTTTGACGACTCATTTGCCAGCCATTCTTGTAGCTGATTGCCCTTCTTGAATCATTTGGAACAGCTAAATGTTGTCTGTAAGTGCTACAGTAATCTAATTCATTTGAGGTGTTGTGGTTGTGCACTGAATAACTTAAAAGGGACGGATATACTTTGCTAATATCCCCACCTTTATAATCCATAGAGCAGCATGGTAAAAAAAGAGACATTGCCAGAAATTAAAAGATTCAGAAAGTTAGAATCAATATCAGTAAGTATTAGAAAGATTAGAAAAGAGACAGCAATTAGTGTTTCTATCAACTTAGGTCAGTAGATAGGTTGCTACAGTCTGGACAGCAGAGGTAATAAGTTATTTACTATCTGTAGGATGTACTCACTTACTCATTTGAACATGAAAAAGAATTCCTTATCAATTATGGAGGTGCTACACCCTCCACAAACTCCTGCCCCACTCACACCTCTCCTCCCAAAGCAAGGTAAGAAAACAAGCATTTAGATTGATTTTGGAGCAGGTCAACATTCAATAAAAGCGGCAAAGAATTTAAAGATGAAGCCAAACAAATCTAGACCTCAGTCAAATATTGACTTTTCTACCTGTACATTCTTAAAGAAGCTGTTCAGAACTTTTGAGCTGAATAATGTTCAGAGAATTAACAGCAACTGCATATTCTAAGATAATTAAGATATAGAGAAATCTTCATAGAAGATCAAATGAGAAATTTCTCCCAGTTGTTCTCCCATCTGTAGCGTAGGT